ATGCCAGGATCACAAGCAGCAGGCTGACCACCGATTGTTGTAGGAGTTTTGGTCACAGCGCCCATGGAAAGGATGCTTAAAGCGACCTACATTACATGGAATGACAGCTAAACTAAGTAAGCAGCTATCGCACAATGGATGCAACAAAGGGTCGGAGGGTGCCCAGAAATTAGGCCTATTTGGCCATCGAGCAACTTTTCTTCACAAAATTTCTGTCTGAATTTCAGCATTCAAGCTTACAGGCACCAAGTAAACACGCTAAACAGTGGCCATTCATGGATGAAGAGGGAAGCAGAAGCATGGAAGGGGACAGAGATTCGTTGCAAATGCCTGGAAAATGCTCTGGCTGCCCAGGGGCATGGAGGAAGCCACACCATCGATTAATCAATGGCCTCTGCCGCAGTGCTGGTGCGCCGCCACTGCAACCGCGGAGGAGGAAATCCAATAAAAACGCGAGGTTTAACATTTTTATTAAAAATTATCGCTGATTGCGTCAAAAAGGAGCAAAGATGCTGCTGCCGCTGTCACAATGCGTCATGGCACATTGCAAAATTTGATCGGTGAGATGTTTAACACTTAAAGAATCGCTCGAAGAGAAAATTATTGAGGGGTTTTTGTCAGAGAATGATTGCTGCGAGCGAAGTGCTACGTTTGATGTTTTTCCGTCTATGAGGTAGAAGTGAGGTACGGAGGGGTTATGTATTATATCTTAAAGTAGGATAAAATTAATTTAAAAAAAAACACAGTCGCAGAGGCATGTAAGAGATTCAGGAAAACCATGTGAGAAGGGTAAAAGCTAAGATGAGGGATAGAGAACAGCCGAATTTTAAGAAGAATAAAAGATGAAAAACAGAGGCAAAAATAATAAAAAGCAAAGGAATTTTAAATTTAGATATTTTATGGCTATGGAAAAGGTCGTAAAAAGATAAAAGTAAAAACAAAAAAGAAAAATGAAATTTGAATTGGAATGTTTCGGTCCATTAAGTCGCATACACTGAAAATGCAAATTTATTCAAACACATGTTGCAAAGGCGCTTTGGAAACCATCACGGCAAAGCTGCCATTATGTAGTAAATATGTGATTGCGCAACGGTGCATTTAGAATGTATTCAAAAATATTTCAATACTTTTTCCATTCCATATTTTGCTTTAAAAACGCGACGATAAAATAATAGCTGATCAAAAAGCACCGTCCTGGCTCAGCATAGAGGAAGAATGCTCTGACAGTGACACCAAAAATCACTTCAAATTTACACTTCTAAAGTTCTGAATAAACAGAACACCACGACAACGAGAAAAATCAGTTATCCGATGAAAGAAGAAATGCTTTAATGTGAAAGAGAAAAACAAATTTCCCTTCCCAAAAAATCTCATAAATCTGATTTATTCACAAACTGGAAAAATATCCACACTGATGATCAATAAAGACCAAATTTAAGTTCTTGACGTTTTTTTCTTCCCATATTATGATAAGAAGGTATTCTTAATAGGAAGGTATATCAAAAAAGGATGAAAAGAGATGAACAAAGAGGAAAGCAAGAGATGAGAATTACAAAATTTGTAAATTAACAAAATTATTTTAATGTTCACCCAGTTACATTTGTTCAAATTTACAGGCGTTTTTGCTGTGAGATGTGCCTAATTTCCCTCCCCTCCCCCTGTCCCTCCCCTTCCCTGCTTCCTCCATCTCACTTGTTCAAAGATCAGAATGAAAGCATTGATACTACTTTTTACACAAGCTGATGCAGGTCTGAATCCCTCTATAATAAGCGCAAGCACTTGAAACTTATCTGAGCGGGGGACCGTGCCTCAACATCAATTACATGCAGGTAAGGCAGCTCTCTTTTTTGGAAGTTACTTGGCTGTTTTGACGATCTGGCAGGCGTCACATAAACGAACACTGGGTGGGCGACTGGCATCGAATAGGCGATGGGTACTAACTGGAGGTATGCAGCCCAGGATTGAAAATCATGACACAACTGGGGTCGACGTGAGGCAGCTTCCAAGTAACACCATTAACACCCTTTTTTCACTTCGTTTTCCTTCTCTTCTTTTTCCTTCTCCTCATTTTCTACTTTACCTTTAGATAAACCCACTGAGAGCCAAAGCGATTTTCATATTCTTGGCAGACATCAGTATCAGAATTGATTTTAAACATAAGTTACTCCATTTCTTTTCTCCTGATTATATTTTAATCGAAGTTTCGACATCTCCGTTTGAAAAAAAAAAAAAAAAAACCAGTTAATTATTTCATTGAAAGAAATTTACCGCTGCTGGTGGTCGTGGAGGCGCTGGACGAGCATTTTGTGCAAATGGATTGAAATCCTCACCGGTATCTGTTGCTCCTTGACCGGCCGCCTGCTGAACACTTGGGTCCTGAAACCAATAATGGGCTTCTTTAAAATACTCCTCGACTCAAAAATACAATAAATCACACATGAAACAAGCGCAAATGAATGGGGATGCTTGTAAAAGCAATAAACAGCGGCATGCACCAGGGCAGCCGGAGCGATCATGCGTTTTGTGCAATTCTCTCCACCGAACGACTGCCCATATTTCCACTGCTCTGAATTCAAATTTTCTGGGTTGCACGTGAGCAGAGGACATGCCCACAAAATTTCAGCCTTCTAGCTCCCGTTGTTCCCGAGATAATTTTCCCCGCTAAAAATTTTACGGGGCCGTACATGTTACCTGCGGGTGCGGGGAGGCTGAATTTAAATTTGCGGGATCGCATGTGGGTGGAGTAAATTCCCTAAATTTTCAGCTTCCTAGCTTTTGTGGTTTCCAAGTTGAAAGTTGCGGACAAGTTGTTGCGAACGCACACACAAACAGACAACCCCGTGACAATGTGCGTTTTGTGCTGCTGTCAAATAGCACAAAATTATTTTTCTGTTCGTTCTAACTCGATGTCTTTCTGGGCAACAAACAGAGACAATTTTGATCAACTGTCTTGTTATCACGGCGCATTTTGATGGCTAACAATCTTCTGCGCCTACTGTAGTAGATGAAGTTGTATGACCTGAAAGTCAACTTAGTCTTCGTTCCGCTTCCTTCTTTCTACAAAAAAAAAAGCCAATAGATGTACCTCATCCCCCGCAACCTTTCGGTCCACATATTAGTGATTCTCCGCCGTTCCAGTAACGACCACTGTTCGTATCGGGAAGTTTATCAGGGGAAATAAGAATGCATAAAACATGGAGAGACAGGTTGCCTCAGTATTCCAAGTGGTCTTGCCAAGTACCGAGGCAACCCCTCGCACATTTTTTACTTGGAATAGGAAAATATTTTAAAGTTGGAAGAAGAAGACAAGTAACAGCACAGCTGCCAACAACAATCCAGCCACTGATTTCTACTAGAGGACCTGTTCCCGTGCTGGCCAGGTGCAACGTGACGGCAATTTTGACTCACGTCGTATCTGCAAGGCACCAATCCGTCTCATCGAGATGGAACTGAAGAGAAGATGCGCAGAAGGCGGTGGTTTTCCCGATGAAAGAATCGAATCGTGGTCTGAATTCGTTCTTCATCATCGTGGAGTTTACTGTGAGTACCAACCAGTCTTGGAACATCGCCGAGGGATCCTTAGCACAGCCCTAGATATGCCAAGGGTCTCATTGGGCCTCACTCCCTTACATATCCTCAAGATTTTCTAATACATCCGCAACACTGCCCT